AATCTGAGTACTATGAACAGCCTAGTTAAGTCACACAAATTTGCAGGTAACTTAATCAGCATAACTTCATGACAACTCACAGAGATCTTTAGCCACCTGACACGGGATCAGAGAAAGCAGGTGGTGAGTCGCCCATGCCTGAGATCAATGCCATTGACACCAATGATCACATTGATCACATATTCAAGGTTTTCCTAACATCAAATGATACATACTTCGCAAAACAAGATTACTAGGAAATATTCTAAGAACAAAATTAAGTGCTAAGGATGCAAAGACCAAAATCAGTTCACCCTGATAGGCATGCTGTAGAATCCCTCGTCTCCCCTTTCCGTCCTATCTCCACTGCCACATGTCTCAGCTACCACCTCACCTAAACCTTCCTATGCCCTGTCTTCCCTTATTCTATTCTTCCCTGTACTCTATAGCTAAAATAATTTTTCTAAAGCGTACTTGCAACTTACCCTGATTCACTAGCTGTTGAAATTAAGAAACACCTATCCCAGTATTCGACCTCAACAAAAAGTCCTTCCCATCCCCTTTTCCTGTGCCTCCTTTTCCATGGACACATCTTGCCACTTAGATGAGATTTTGTCTTGGGTCCCTGCTCTCTTTAAACCTCTGAAGTGCTCTGTACCTCTTCTGTGGCACCTGTTTTATTCTGCTTTCTTTTGTTAAATGTGTCTAGTTTCTCCCACTTAGCCCATTAGGTGTTAAAATTTTTTAGACCAGAGTTGTATCTTGTTCATTATTATTATTATTTTTTTTTTTTTGAGATGGATTCTTGTTCTGTGACCCAGGCTTGATTACAGTGGCGTGATCTCAGCTCACTGAAACCTTCAAACAATTATCCTGCCTCAGTCTCCTGAGTAGCTAGTTTTACAGGTGTGTGCCACCACACCTGGCTAATTTTTGAATTTTTAGTACAGACAAGGTTTCACCATGTTGGCCAGGCTGGTCTCAAACTCCTGACCTCATGATACGCCTGTCTCAGCCTCCCAAAGTGCTGGGATTACAGGTGTGAGCCACTGAACCTGGCCCACCTTGTTCACATTTTATTCACTTTAGCACAAAGTACATCAGTACTTAATAGGTACTAAAAATAATAATAATAAATGCAAAATTATTTGAATAGAGTCCAGTTTGGGACTGATTTTTTATGACATACTGGCTTCCTGAGGAGGCATACTACATGATTCTAACAGCAAAACTCAAAGTAGCTAGCTAAAGTACTGTTCACACTCAGACTGTGTACAATTTTGTTAATATTTGTTAAATCCTAAAATCTGGCTCATTCATGCCACTTTCCTGAGATGTCATGCATGCTCTAGAATGCTTGTCTCTTCTTTAACAAGGTGGGTTTTTTTTGTTTTTGTTGGTTTTGTTTTTTTAAATTCAGCTTGTTATCGACATGACTCCCAGATCAATTCTGGCTGTGCTTGTACTTCATAATTTGTTTGTATAAACTGGGTATTAGTCTTAATAGTTGACATGAAGCTTTTCAGCATCCAGAGTATGGTTACTCCATTCATTAAGTAGAAGTCACATTGTCTCCACATTGTCAGCAGGTAGTGTGTGTTGTACACATCTCTAGAAAGACACACTGTGTGACTTATTATCACACTGACATAGGTCATGGCTCAAAAAAATTCTAACTAAAGAAAGGAGGAGCACAGGGTAAAAATAAGCTGAAATGAACATGCCATTAACCCTCTCACCTCTTCCCATCATGCTTTGTGAAAATAATCAATGAATAATTCCTAGAGCTCTGGAACCTGGAACTCTCAGTGAAGAGAGGCAATAGAATGTAATTAACACCCTGATTTTATTTTTTTAATATCTTACACTAAAGGAGGAAACGTCTAACAGAATATTTAAATTCAGCATAAAATCCTAGCAACAACAATTTTAATTGCATACCAACTGCAAAAATATTTCTTTCATTGTCTAAATAAAAGAAAGGCTATAATATGCACTGTCTGCTTGTTTCAGGACTCAATTACTAATCTTTAAGAATCTTTTCTAGGATGAAAGCCTCTTCCTCCAGCAAATGCATCTTGAGACCGGGTCTTAATCTTTTAAAATCCTAACTTTCATTTTGAACCATATTAAGACTTCTATCCCTGACATAAAAACACCTTGAACAATATTTCAGACAAAGGAATTTCAGGAATATTTTTAATACTAACTCACAACAATACTTTTTAAAAGTCTCAAGAATGAAAAGCTACCTTTGTCTCCACATAAACACACATGTTAAAAAAATGCACAGAATGAAATTTGATTACTCAACAGCAAGTCATCACAAATGCAAGCAAAGATTGGGTCGCTGTTTCCATAGAGATGACTTTAAGTGGTTCAGTTCTTCTGGGAATTTAACCAAATCCCCAGCAGCAGGAGAAAATCATCAGCAAAAATTCTGTAACATATGGCAACTGCCAAAAAATCAATGAGAAAAGAAAAATACTTTCATTTTCTTTTCCTTTTACCAAGAGGAATATCGTCACACTGAGCTGTTTGAAGAAGTATACAGATTTTGCTGGTCACTCTGTGTGTAACTCAAAACTAAATAGCACCAAGTTGCTTCATTCTTACATTAAAAGGGCTGTTGGTTCCCAGCCAGGCTCTATAGCACATGCAGTCCTGGAATTGCATTTAGCCATGAACAAGCACTGGTGCATCTTCCCATGACTCTCTGGCTATGGTCCTAAAGGAAAACGATCAACCTCCAGGGTTATCTCTTGGGAAAGATTGCAAATGGAATCTTATTCTCTAGTATATTTTTGAAGATATGCTCATCCCGTGTGTGTGTGTGTATGTGTGTGTGTGTGTGTGTGAATTTTTTTTAAGTTCTACTTATGACCCAATGATTAAAGTAAGAGTTTGAAGGAGAAAAATAATAGATGTAGTACTTTTTATTATTTTCTTTAGTTCTACCAATGCTGTATCTGGAAGTTTGTTCCAAGTATCAAGGTAGAGGTCATCTAGTTCAAGAAACTTAAGTTCTCTCTTCAGTACATGCTTTCAAGAACAAAAGCTGTGATTAACATGCAATATGTAATCAATAGTCAATAAAAATGGTTGTCTCAGAATGAGTAAACACATCCAGTGATAAGGAATGCATTACTTTCCAAGGAACCTATTCTATTTTGAACAGCTCATAACATCAAAAACAAAGTTCTTATGCTGAAGTTAAATCTACCTCCTTTTGACTTGCACCATTGAACTCAATTTTGTACTTCCAAGGAGATGCATTTAAGCTCAATACTTTGTCCACATGACAGCACCTCACAAACCTGAGGGGGAGCTGAGACTACTCTTTCCATTCTCACAGTCCAGTCTTTAGCCCTCTACATTCCTCAGAGGCAATGTTTCCTTTCTCCTCCCTATGCTACTCATTCACCTCTTGAAATAGGTTGGTTTGCCAATAATTTTATTCACTCCAGTTCTTCTAATGTGAAATAGATAGTTGGCCTAAATAGTGGGGAAGGGTATAAGAAAAATGCCATCAAGGCCGGGTGCGGTGGCTCACACCTGTAATCCCAGCACTTTGGGAGGCAGAGGTGGACAGATCATAAAGTGAAGAGATTGAGACTATCCTGGCCAACATGGTGAAACCCTATCTCTACTAAAAATACAAAAAGTAGCTGGGCATAGTGGTGCATGCCTGTAGTTCCAGCTACTTGGGAGCCTGAGGCAGGAGAATCACTTGAACCCAGGAAGTGGAGGTTGTAATGAGCTGAGATCACGCCACTGCACTCTAGTCTGCTGACAGAGCAAGGCTCTGTCTCAAAAAAAAAAAAGAAAGAAAGAAAAAGAAAAAGAAAAATGCCATCAGAGGCCAGACAGATCTGTGTAAAGCCTCTTTAGGTAAGGCCTCAGAGAATGGCGATAGCTATTGTAACCTGGAGAATTAGTTACCAGGCTGAGTATTCAAATTTACATATTTTTAAAACACTATACAGATACACGCACATGCACACACACACAACAACTTGGTCTAAAGTTGTGATCCTTGGCCAAATTATTGTGATACCAAAAATTAAATTAACAGGGTACCCATCTGAAATTTGTGAACTTAAAGAAGTTGTCTATGATTAGGCTAGAGGAGAGGGGAGAGCGGTCATCTACATTATTAGACACTCTGGCAGGTTATTATGGGAATCTAGCAAGTCAACTTTCTCTCAATGGCACACCAAAAAATACACAAACCAAACTCATCATTCTTTCACTGCTCCGTATGTTCCATCAGGTAACCCTGTTTTACAGCAAAATGAATAATAGCACACAATCAGAAAAGGCATTATGATAGAACAGAAATAAAAATATGTTATTCCTGAATAAAAGATAAGGACCAGTTATCAGAGTATTTTTTAAACCTCATATTATTGCCTTCCACACTCAATTAACTCTTTCCTTTGTTAAAACTTAAAATGTTTTTCAAACACATAAGTTGCGTTCTCCTTTATATGTAAAGGTTCTAATGCTGCACAAAGTGCGGGCAAATTGTCTTCCCATTAACCACACAGGAACATTCAGGAGCCAGCGGGCTAAGAATTAGATACTGTCTGGAGCACAGCCCAGGGAAGGCAGCTGCTCTCAGGTCATTTTGAACTATCAAGGTGACGTGAAAAATACCAGACTACAAAGTCCTGATTTAACCACCACAAGCTCCAGAGCATGAGACATGGAACTAAAAAAAGAGTTTTTTAGCAAGTTTTTTCTCCGGTGAGTGGAAAAGTATCATTATTTTATGATCACATGTCTTACAGTTCTGAAGCAGTTGGTTAGTGACACTTACAGCAAGTAATTAGCGGCCTAGTAGCTGGAGTTGCCACGTGCAACTCCTCTACAAAGCAACCTCTGGGCATAACCCCACTTGACTAATTCTTGGCATCATTCATGAGTTTAACCATTCTTGTTACAAATTAATATTACAGTTCTGTACACACACACAAATATTCATTCCCTAAAGAAGAATGAACAATTTCTTGGTTTACCTTTGTCCATGATCTTTGATCCAGCAGGCTTATCTTGGACAGTAAGATGGTCGTGATTGCTACTCAATGAAGTATCATCACTAGATAAAGAGTTCAAAAATCCACTTTCTGATGTGACAAAGCTGTTTTCTGGGGCCTTGTGGCTGCCTGTCTCTGCAGGTACAGGTGAATGAACCTGCACAGCAAACGTTATTGGCTGTCCCTCATCTTCAGCAGCAGACAAACTGTTAACTGTGTCAGGCCAGGACTCTCTCTCTTCAGATAAGGAGGAAGGAAAACTACTGGGTGTCTTCACTGTATCCAGGGAAGAGAAAGAACATGATGTTCCACTCAGGCTGGGTGAGGATGAAGATGCCTGCTGTGCAGCCTATTTTTCACAAATAAAACCAAAAAAAGAATAAAAGATATTGTGATTAAACCACCATTCTCTACCTTTCATTTCCAAAAAAGGTGTCCCCATATTATTTCAAAAAGTGACCAATAATAAAAGAGTCAAAAATAAAGGCATGATATTTATTTCTGTTTGACACACATTAGAATTTCATTCTCCAAAACTGATTTATATAACTTTTAATTCACTGTTCTAGGATATGAAAAATCTCCTTATCATGATTTGTCCTATTCTTCCATGTTCTCCAGAAACTTAAAGGGCCTCTTTTGGGAATCCTTCAGAATACTGCATTATACTTTGAGCAAAATACAATTTGCAGTCTATCACTGAATTCACACTGATGGAGCAAAAAGATAATTATGAAAAAAGAGAAGCTGGGTGTGATGGTTCATGACTGCAATCCCAGCACTTTGGGAGGCCATGGTGGGTGGATCACCTGAGGCCAGGAGTTTGAGGCCAGCCTGGCCAACATGTTGAAACCTCATCTCTACTAAAAATACAAAAATTAGCCAGGCTTGGTGGCACGTGTCTGTAGTCCCACCTATTCAGGAGGCTGGGGCAGCAGAATCACTTGAACTCGGGAGGCAGAGATCGCGGCGAGCCAAGATCATGCCACTGCACTCCAGTATGGTCGACAGAGTGAGACTCTGCCTCCAAAATAGAAAAAGAGAGCAAAAGCTGGAGCCATTCCAGAAACAAAGTAATGTTACTTGAGTGGAGATGAGGGATGGGGGAAAAGCATATGAACCTAAACCCTTAAATATTGCTCACCTATTCCCTAGTGCATGACAAGCCTTGGCAACATTTTCATTAGTACAGAGAGAAAACATCAAAGCAACATCACCAGTGATACAGTTAGCTCTGTGTCCCCACCCAAGTCTCATCTCAAATTGTAATCCCCACATGTCGAGGGAGGGACCTGATGGGAGGTGCTTGGATCATGGGGATGGTTTCCCCCATGCTGTTCTGGTGAGTGAGTTCTCATGAGATCTGATAGTTTAAAAGTATTTGGCGGTTCCCACCTTGCTCACTGTCTCTTCTGCCACCACATAAGATGTGCCTTGTTTCCCCTTTGCCTTCCACCATGATTGTAGGTTTTCTGAGGCCTCCCCAGCCATGTGGAACTGTGAGTCAATTAAACCTCTTTCCTTTATAAACTACCCAGTCTCAGGTAGTTCTTTATAGCAGTGTGAAAATGGACTAATATAACCAACAAGGACACTTTTGGAAAGAACTTCATTTATTCTGAGATTTTTATCTTTCCTACATTTTGATGTTGAAATATATGCCTTCTTTTAAAAAAAATGGTGACAGCAGCTGGGCGGGGTGGTTCATGCCTGTAATCCCAGCATTTTGGGAGGCCAAGGCGGGTGGATCACGAGGTCAGGAGTTCGAGATCAGCCTGGCCAAGATGGTGAAACCCTGTCTCCACTAAAAATACAAAAATTAGCTAGGCACAGTGGCAGATGCCTGTAATCCCAGCTACTCGGGAGGTTGAAGCAAGAGAATCGCTTGTACCCAGGAGGTGGAGGTTTCAGTGAGCCAAGATCATACCACTGCACTCTAGCCTACATGACAGAGCAAGACTCCATCTCAAAAAAATAAAATGTTGACAGCACATATAAGCCTTTGTCTCTTTGGAGTTTTTTTAATGTCCTAAGTAGCAAAATAAAGATTCAGTAATTCTATCTTGCTCTTCCATTTTTAATTTTATTGGCCAATAAAATCCAAAAATCTAGACTCCAGTACTCTATGGATCACTCTATATCTCCAACAGCAGATAAGATCCAGAAGGCATTTTATGGTTCAGTTGCATTATATCATCCTATGGGGCATGCCTGTCAACGTCAAGCATTCAAAACTCCAAGGAAGGCCAGGTGCAGTAGCTCACACCTGTAATCTCAGCACCTTGGGAGGCAGAGGCAGGTGGATCTCTGAGGCCAAGAGTTTAAGGCCAGCCTGGTCAACATGGTGAAACACCGTCTCTACTAAAAATACAAAAATTAGGGCATGGTGGCTTATGCCTGTAATCCCAGCTACTCAGTGGGCTGAGGTAGGATAATCGCTTGAACCCAGGAAGAAGAAGCTGCAGTGAGCTAAGATCATGTGATTGTACTCCAGCCTGAACAACTGAGTGAGATTCCATCTCAAAAAAACAGAAACCAAGAAAATCTCCACGAAGTGTCAGGAAGGTTGATAGAGAGAGGAAGCCAAAGAGCAAACTAGAATCCTCTTCAAAAACCTCAGAATCATAGCAACTAATTCAGAAGAGCTGACTTTGTTCCAAATCAATATAGTCCACAGGAAATTTGTAGATTCTGATCTCTGAGTTTTCATGGGAGAAGCCAATATTTATCTAATGTGTGCCCAATCAGCTCCATGCTAGACATGGACTGTCAGATAATCAATAAATCTACTTTTAAGTAGCATGACATTAAAATCTCTAGTTAAGATACTAATCCCACATATCTTATAAATAATCATATATTGTCACAGACATTAAAAAAATTCCATTCAGGAATATGTGAAGTAGCTTGTAAAGTGGCTATCTTATGTCACTTAAATCTTTAATAACCAACAGATCTAAGATCTGTAATTTCAGTAGAACCCTAGTTATCTAGCAGAGGGAATGCACCATCCCAAATTGTCCAAATAAATACCAGGAATAGTTTACTAATTAGCAAGATCTACAAAATAAATATTTAAAAAATATACATTCTGGCCCAGTCCTGACACGTTCCCCATTGTGAGCTATTTTAGTAAAACTCAACTTCTACGTGATCAATCTCTTTTTTGAAACACCAAACATGAGCTTTTGCCATTACTCCTGCTGATTCTGCTTTAAATTAGATTATAGCCAGCTGGGCTATTTGAACAAGAGACCATGCACACAGTTGCTACATCCCTGCCTGTAAGGTTTTTTGAACCTCAAAACTCAAAAGTATTAAGACCTATTAAATGAGCATCAGAAATACCTGTGAAGTGTCATCCGGTTTGTGGTGTGACTCAAACACAGTGCAAATGCTCTCTCAATCCATTTTCTCTAGACAACACGTACCACTTATAAATTTCATTTTTAAATTAAGAAAAGAAGAATGAGGGGTAAAAAGGAAAGAGAGACAAAGAAGGAAGAAGACTTGGAGAAGAGGAAAATGAAAATGAGAAAATGACTACATGTATCAGGTCGGGGGGGTTTTCACTGGAAGAGCAATTGATAAAATACAAATCAAAGTGAACCTGGAGTTCCATTTCCAAGGATTCAGTATGGGAACGTGTTATAGACAGTGTAGTGCTAAGGCATGGCTCATTATTTCTAACATTCTGCAGAAACCAATAGCCAAGCACTGAGCATAGAACTCAGCTCAGTGTCTTCTGTGAACCATCTGTGCAATATACTCATAAAGCTCCCCCGTGAAAATCAAATGAAAGCAGAAAGCAGTGCTAGTTTCTCCTCTCCACCCCATCCCATCTCTACAGGTAAATATGAGTCCATCCTTCATGTGTCTGTTCAAACACCAACTCCTCCAGGAAGTCTTCTCTGATAGTCTCAGGGCCAGGTAGGTGCTTTGCTTAGTGCTTCTGGGCTCATTTCTATCATATTTGGTGGAATATCATTTTATCACCTTACACAGCTGTTCCTTGAACAGTAGGGATTCAAACTGCACAGGCCCACTTAAGCACAGATATTTTTTGAGCAAATACAGTCAGCCCTCTGTATCCATGGATTCCAAATCCACAACCAAATGGGAATGAAGACAGCATCTGCAGGATGCAGGACAAGAAACTCAAGGACACAGAAAACTGACTTTTTGTGTAGGTGGCTTCTGCAGCAAGCCCCTGTGAGACTTGAGTATGCAGAGACTTTGGTCTCCATGGCTTGGAACTAAGCCCCCACAGATACCAAGAGGCAACTGGATTGTAACAACTGATTGACAATTCATCTTTTTTGATGGGCTACCTGAGAACAGGCTGATTTTAATCATTTTTGCACCTCCATTTTTTTTAAATTTTTTTAATTGCATTTTAGGTTTGGGGGTACATGTGAAGAACATGCAAAATTGTTGCATAGGTACACACATGGTAGTGTGATTTGCTGTCTTCCTCCCCATCACCTATATCTGGCATTTCTCCCCATGCTATCTCTCCATTTTTTGCCTCTTGTTTAACACATAATTGGTGACAATGACAAAGAATGAGCCAGAACCAGCTCTGTGAAGAAAAGCACCCCAGAGTCATTCAGCCTGTGGTGGAGGAGCTTCCTGAAATGCTCCCTAAAGTCGCTATGAGTGATTTATCCGAATCCCAGGATTAAGGGGTTATCAGTCCCAATTATAATGCAAATAGCCCCCAGAAATGTTCTTATAACCACAAATAAAATTATTATTTTATTTAATTAGTGATTAATAATTGTATGTGGTTTCATTCTTTTCAGAACACGTGTTAAGTATTTTATATTTAAAATGAGGAAATTAAAAATTTTTTTAATCTTAGTTCTAGTTAACAGACTGTGATATGATTACATTAAAAATTAAGGCTGATTTTTCCTATTCTGTATAGGATAGCTTTCATTACTGAAGACGCTTCATTCAAATGTTAGCCCTAAAATCCTTTTCTTGGAATAATTTTTCAAATAAGTTTGACATGGTGAAAAATAGTTTAAAATGGCCACCTGAAGCCTGTAATTAGGCAGAAGCGAGTCAGCATAGAAATCTCAAGGAGTCAAAGTACATGAAAACAAAAAAAGTCTAAACAAAGCAAAATAAAACAAAAATGAGAAGAAAGGAAGAAACGTTAACAGCTTCTCTTTCTTTGTATTGGCCATATTCACAAAAACAAAACATAAACTAGTCAATTGTTGTTAAGCCCCAGGAAGTATCATGTGTGGATTTCTCCTATATGCCAGGAGAAGCATTACCCTAAATACCAGAAGACCTTGTGTAGTAGGTCCTTGTATAGTAGGTCCTTGGGCAATGAGC